CTGGGTCAAAGAGGTTCAAAGCACACAGATCTTGGGGTTCAAAGGACATGCTCCACTCCTTGCTCTTCTTTGATGGTACATTTCCTCCACTTCCTGCTTCTGAGATGACTCATTTTAAGCCCACATTAGAGTTCCAAGTTTTTACAATCACAATAACTCTTAAAGATCACAACAGAATCATATTCTCCTATTAGCATCTTCTCCCATCTTTTCTTACCCAGGTCTGTCAGGAAAACATCACTTGGTGGGAGTTACAAGGACTATGGGTAGAAGAGCCACATGAAGTAATCCACTACCCTGCACATAGCTCCCAGCATCACAGCAACACACAAGCCACCACAGTACGGCAGACTGACTGATGTGTGGGATGTGCAAACTCTCCATTGGGTTGAAGAGGCAGATGACTTCAAATGACTGCAAAATGTAGGTCCACAAGTGGACTCCAGCTTTCAGACTCACATGCGTAGCCAGCACACTGCTTTATGAAGTGTTGACATTGAATGCCTGAATGTGGGGGAAGGTGTTCTCTAGTGGGCTCTGGAGCCTATCTCTACCCATGATCAAATACACCTGGCCCCTCCTTCACCATTTTTATTGCCTGCCTGGTTCTGAAAGACATTTGAATGTATAAACTCTGGTGTACACTAAGAAGTTCAAATCGTCTGACTTTGATCAGGGCCCAGCCAACCTTTTCTGTAAAGCACCAGACAGTAAATATTTTAGGTGTTGTGGGTTATAATGTCTCTGTTACTCAGCTCTGTTTATTGTAAAAGGAAAAGCAGTCAAAGACTGTAAATAAATGAAGGAGTGTGGCTGTATGTCAATAAAACTTGATGTATGGACACAGAAATTAGAATTTCAGATGATTTGCTCATGCCACGAGTTAATTATTTTTCTTTTGCCCAAGCATTTGGTAAAAAAAACAAATATAAGAATGGCATAAGCCATCATTAGTTTATTGTCTCTAGGTGCCGTCGAGTTGGTTCCAACCCTATGTACAATAGAACGAAACACTGCCCGGTCCTGCTCTAGCCTCATAATTGGTGATACATTTGAGCCCATAGCTGCTGCCACTGTGCCAGTCCATCTTGTTGGGGGTCTTTCTCTTTTTCACTATTCCTCCACTTTATCAAGCATGATGTCCATTCTTCTCTAGGAACTGGTCCCTTCTGATGATATGTCCAAAGTATGAGAGACTAAATCTGATCACCTTGGCTTCTAAAGAGCATTCTGGTTGTACTTCTTCCAACAGAGATTTGTTTGTTCTTCTGGCAGTCCATGGTACCTTTCATATTCTTCTCTAATGCCATAACTCCTTAGTTTATGGACCTTACAAAATAGCAGACCAGATTTGACCTGTGAACTATAGTTTGCCTCATCCCTGATTGAAGTCATTGACCAAAATCACCTAATGCTTTCCCAGAGGATGCCAGAAGAATCGGAATGAGCCTGGGGCTTTTGCACTAGTGGCACACTTTCAAGCAAATCTTTTTTAAAAAAGTATATGGAAACGTTTAAATTGAGGTTTAGACAAATTACCCAAGTGTAATCAGGTCTGCTGTGGCCCTGTTTTGCTCTGGACTCTGTGGGTATCCCTCTTCTCTCTGTGAAGCACTTGAGGGATAAGGTTGATAACGACATCTGGATTACAAGCAGTGGGAACAATCACAAAAGGACAGCTAGGAAGGTGGTCAAGAGAACGCAGTCATACACTAGACAGCAAATTCACTGCGAATGGACCATGCTTGTAGGAACCTATAGAACTCCTAAGCATAAATAAATACTTGATTGTTTTTCTGTACATATAGCTGATTCGGACAATTTTCCATGATCACAGCTGTAAAGCCATCTTCTTGAAAACAGAAAACGTGTCTTATTTCTTTTCTAATCTTAGCCCACAGCAAAGTGGTCTCCTGGCCCATTTTCCCCACAGTGGACATAGTGCCACTTAAATAAATTGAACTTCTCCACTCCTGACACACTTGAAAGAAATAAGTTCATGTACCGGGGAGTAAGCTCAACCACATTATCACTCACCCAAGAAAACCACCTCTGATGTGTTCATGTCCTAACAAGCATTGAGAAAACAGTGAGCTTTCTCTTGTTCATCATTTTCCTCCCATGAATATTACCAAAGCAGTGGCAAGCAGGTTCCGAAAATGAGAGGGAAGAATGGCTTATTATATTCGTGTTGTTGCTAGCTAAGTTGCTGTCAAGTCGGCTCCTACCCATAGCATCCCATGTACAACAGAAGAAAACATTGCTGGCCCAGAATCATCATCATGGTTGGTAATATTCAAGTTCACAGTGGTGGCCACTATGCATGCGAGTGCTTTTCAGTTTAGGGAGCTCATCTTTCAGGACTGTATGGGATACTATTCTTTTGTGATCCATAAGGTTTTTGTTGGCTGATATTCAGAAGATCACCATGTCTTTCATCCATGTCTGCCTGAGTCTGGAAGTTCTGCAGAAACCTGCTCATCATGGGTGACTTTGCTGGTATTGAAATACTGCTAGGCATGGCTTCTAGCTTCAGAACAATGTGCAAGCCACCACGTTGACAGGTGGTGAATTATATGATTTTTTTTTTTTTTTCAAATTGTATTTTCACCATGACATATTTCTTCTATAAGCACTTCATTGGCGTTACAAAGGACCTACTTACCATGGAAGTCTGGAATAGGCCAGAAGTTTCCCCCAGTAATCCTATTATTTCAAAGCAGGCTTTGGTCTGTATGAGTATCCTAGGCGTGCACAGACTCAATGTACTTTTTTTTTAATTTTTTAAATTTTACTAAACACTTGGCAGCATGTTGGCACAAAAGTCAGACATGATATTGTCCTTGCCTCAGGGAGCTCAACCTTGTTGCCTCTGGCAATTGCATTCTTCCTTTTGCTAGAAGGTCTGCTGAACTGGGGAGAATTGCTGTTTGACCCAATAAAGGCAAAACCAAACCCAATTGCCTTGAGTTGATTCTGACTCATAGTGTCTTTATATAGGGTTTCCAAAACTGTCAGTCTTTACGGGAGCAGACAGCCTCATCTTTCTCTCACGGAGCAGCAGCTGGGTTTGAACTACCACCCTTGTGACTAATTATCAACTGCATGTTGTTGATTTGTTTTGGGCGGGTGGGGGATTCAGTTTAAAGCCTTTTAAAATTTCTGTTTGACCACCTCACAGAAGACTTGGAATATCCTCATTCATCACCAGCCCTGGCCCTCACCCACCTACCTTTGGCTGTCATTGGCTCTGTGTTGGCTTTTGCTGTTATATGTAGCTTTTCAGCCCTGAGCTCAGTAAGGGATGGTTTTTAACTAGACCTGCATCTAACAAATCTGTTGCCAAAGCTTTATTTTGCCCACCTTGGGTTTCCCACAAGAACAAGTGGGTTGTAGCAGATGCTGAAATCACTGCTTAGAAAACAACAAATGAAAGCTTTGTCGTGCATACAGCGCCACTAAGGGGATCGAGGTTGTTGCATTGTGATCATAATTCCAGCCTCTCATTAGTACAGAGTAGGAGAACCTGAGGGAAAAAAAGAATGAATACTCCTTGCCTGACTTAGCTGCACTGGGCAGCACCCAACCCCCACGGCTCTGAGTTCCAGGCAGGTGGAGACAGGGGTGAGAAAAATTCACTCCTCACACCTACCCAAGGAGCGTCTGGAGAGTTGGGTGGAAATGAGGAGTCTGTGTGCCCTGTGTCTATAAAGCAGCTGCTTTTGGCTGTGCTTGGAAAGGTGTGAGGAGTAGACAGGCGGGCTCTCAGTGAAAACGAGACTGCTTTTCAGAGCTTCTTCAGCCTCTGCCTGTGTGAGCCCTCACCTTTATCCCTGAGTACAGGGAGCTGTCTCCTTGTTAGTGCTAAACTGATCATATCTGGTGGTCAGGACTTAACAGCCTCTTCGGTGGCACAGGCAACAAGAGAGTGAATCAGAATGGGAAAGGATTTGGAAACAAGGCCACTAGAGGCTGGACAGCCCAGTGGCTGAGAACATGGCCCCTGGATCAGCTAGATAGGGTCATTTCCTGACTCCACCCCTCTTCTAGCTGTGTGACCTCAAATAAGTAATCTAACCTTTCAAGCCTCGGTTTCCACCTCGGTAAAATGGGCCACCTTGTGGGGTGTCCAGTGAACATGCAACAGGATAATCTATGTGGAATTCTTGGTGCTACACCTGCAAATAAGTTTTGTTATCATTATTTTATGAAAAAAACAGAAGAGGCTGTAATTGTTGAGTCTGGAGAAGAGCAGATTAGAAAGACATGATAGCTGTCTTCAGATATTTAGACATTTACCATGTGACAGAGGGAACAAACTTAATTTTAGCACAAAGACAATATGACTTAAAATACGGACTTGGCAGGAAGGCAGATTTCATGTCAATAAAAGAATGTTTATGACAAAGATGCTTAAGCATAGACCAGGCTGTCTTGTCGGGAATGGGGCTCTCTTCACTCGCCTTGCTCAGACAGAGACTGGCTGGCCCCAGCACCCAGGAGATCAAGGGAAATGTCTTCCAGGAGGGATGAGATGTTGGCTGGACTGGAGGCCTCTGGTCTCCTCTATTTCTAAGATAACAACTTTAGCAAAAGTCAAAATTAGTTAAACCCGGGAGAGAATGAGTGAAACCAACAACTGCATAGAACAGAACCAGAAAAAATAAGTTATATATATGCGTGTGTGTTGTTGTGTGCTGTCGAACCAGTTCCGACTCGGTGTAGGAGCAGCTAATGGGCTTGAACTGCTGACCTTGCAGTTAGCTATCCATGCTTATCCTACAGCGCCATGCATATAGGAGTCCTGGTGTGGCGCTGTATACCTGGAGTCCTTGGGGTGGGGGATCCATTGGGTATAAAAGAATTGCAAGTGTATTTGCTCAGAGATGATTATCAGCAATTTCCTTATCGACCACGGGTTTGTCCTTTGTGTGTACAGCCTTCAGAATCGTTTTTGAAGAGCCCTTTAACTGTATCCTGTCTTGCTTCCCTTCTCTTAGGTGAACGGCCCTTTCCCTGCACTTGGCCAGACTGCCTTAAAAAGTTCTCCCGCTCAGACGAGCTGACCCGCCACTACCGGACCCACACTGGGGAAAAGCAGTTCCGCTGCCCGCTCTGCGAGAAGCGCTTTATGAGAAGTGACCACCTCACAAAGCACGCCCGGCGCCATACCGAGTTCCACCCCAGTATGATCAAGCGATCGAAAAAGGCGTTGGCCAACCCTTTGTGAGGTGCTACACAAGGCTGCCAGGGAGGGATGGACCCCGAAAAGACAAAACTATTCCCGGGACACAGACAGACACATGGAAACTAAGGCCCGGAAGAGACACCCTGACTCACAGAAGTCGCTGCTCTTTGGTCAATATCTTGAGTTTCCTCTCCCTGCATTGTTTTTAAAAGCACATTGTAGCCTAAGATCAAAGTCAACACTTGGTCCCCTTGCAGAGGCAACTATCTGAACCCGTCTCTGACTGTTGAAGGGAAGACAAATGCTGTTTTTTTGTTGTTGTTGTTGTTGTTGCTGGCTTTTTTTTTTTTTTTTTTCCTTAATTTTCTTGGGAATGGGGTGGGAGGGTGGGGGAAGGGGAACACAGCCAAGACTGGGGTAGGATTTTAAAGATTCAACACTGGTGTACATACGTATGTCTGACTGGGTAAGTTGACCTGCGGTTACCACACAGTGATTCCAGGCCCTTTATGCTTGCTGTCTCTCTGAATTTTTTTCTTAACCTTTTGATGTAATGACGGAGTTTGCTTCAGTTTCCTTAGCAAAACCACTCTCTTTAAATCACATTAACTTTTGAGATTAAAAACGCCATAGCACAGCTGTCTTTATGCAAGCAAGAGCACATCTACTCCAGCATGATCTGTCATCTTAAAGACTTGAAAACAAAACACAAGTTACTTATAGTCAATGGTATGCAGAGTCTGAATTTATACTAATCAAGACAAACCTTTCACAGGTTACACTAAGTACCGAACTTTTAAACCTTGCTTTGTATGAACTGTACTTTTTGAACATAAACTGCACTTTTGTGTTCTAATGCAGAGGATGAATAAGTTAAATACATGCTTTAAGGATAAAAGCAGCCATTCTGTTTGGCACCATGTTATAATCTTTTTTTTTTTTTTCACAGTATGCAGGTTTCCCTAAGAAATCATGGCAGAGATGTGAGGGCAGAATACACATAGCAGATACTGAAGGAGAAGGAGGGTCATAGTAAAACAAAACAAAAAGGACAAACAGAATTTTAACTCTATTAACTTTTCCAAATGTTCCGGTCTTTTCAGTTAACTGTATCTGATACCATCATGCCACTAAGGAACAGGGATTTTATTGCTGGGTTTCATTTGAATGGGTGCATAATACGAACTAGCTCGGGAAATGACTTTTTTTTTTTTTTTTTGGAAAAGGTTTGCTGGTGGCCTTTCCATGTTCCTACAAAACTCCCACTAACAGGTGCAAGAGGTATGCAAAAGGAAAGGGAGCTGAAATCTGAAATGAAACATATATATACCCCTATAGTAGCGAATGCCAGTGGAGAAGACCACTGTGATTTCAGAAGAGGCTGCGTAATCGTCCCTTCTGGAGAACATAGGCCAGTGGAATATGTACGAAGGAAAACACATCACCGTACCTTTCACATCAGAAGCCTCACCACTCTATATCTCATATCTAGGTGTCTACAGTGGCCTAAACCACTACATTCATAATATGCCATTTACCTGAAAACTTAATTTTGGCCTCTACGTGGCCAGAAAAAAAATGAACTGAGTTTTCATAGTGAAGGAAAAACAAACAAAAACAACCTCAAATGAGGGGAGTCAGCAGTGATGGCGGGCGGGGGGTGGGAAATGTTTACATTTTTTGTTTTGTTTTTTCTTCAGAAATAATGCTTTCTGACAATTTTATCTGATATTTAAAGCAGGGAACTGTGGAACACTCTAGTTTATACATGTGCTATCAAATGTGTTGTGTAAACTGAGGGTGTGTACCTATCAGTGGGCTCATTTTCCCACCTGACAAATGCACATTTCAGCATCAGTGTGGGCTCCTGGAACAGACTTGGGTTCACTACTGACTCCCACTTCCAATAGAACAGCCATCATTAGCACGGTGTTTTTTTTGTTTTTTTGTTTTTTTTTAATTTTTAACCAATATAGTTGTATTAGTGGTTCTGTAAAGAACTGCTTTTAACATTAGGGACTGAGAGCAGTCCAGGGGATAAAAGGAAAGTGTTTTCTCACGGGAAAACATGTCAGGAAAACAAAGAACACTTTCTACCTCTGTTTCAGATTTTTGAAACGCTTATTTTAAACCAAATTTTGATTTCTGTGTCCAAAATAAGTTCTAAGGACATCTGTTCTTCCATACGAAATAGGTAGGCTGCCTATTTCTTACTGAGCTCATAGAATGGTTCTGTTTAGGACACTCTGCACGCTGCCTTTTAGTGAGTGAGGAGTTTGGGGTTGCCTAGCAACTCTACTAACTTGTAAAAACTCATCTTTCCCTCACAGAAAAAAAAAAGAAAGAAAGAAAGAAAGAAATGAAGAAAAACAAAGCAAAGTCCGTGAGAGACAATCTTTACAGTGTCAGGAGTCAGTCTATGTGTGGCTTTTGTCAAACACTTAGATGGCTATAAATGCAGCAACTTGTTTAAAAAATGCACAATTTATTTCCCAAAAAAGTTGCTACTTGCCTTTTTGAGGTGTTGAAAAAACACACATTTGATAGTCTCTTATATGTTATAGTAATATAACATATAAACTCAAGGCTTTTTATTCTTTGTGATAAATCCTGTTTTAAAAAGTCACAAAACAGGAACCAGCATTCTAATTAGATTTACTCTATTCTATCAAGATATGGTTCAAATAGAACTACTAGAGTTCATTGAACACTAAAACTATGGAACAATTACTTTTTATATTAAAAAGACCATGGATTTAACTTACAAAAATCCAAATGCAGGATAGTAATTTTTGTTTACTTTTTTAACCAAACTGAATTTTTTTGAAAGACTATTGCAGGCATTTAAAAAGAAAGAGATGTCGTTTTATCTAATATTGTAAGTAGTTGTCATACTCTGGAAAATTTAATAGTTTTAGAGTTAAGAGAACTCTTCTCCTTGGTTAGGGAAGCAGAAAGCCCTTCACCATTGTGGAACGATGCTTTGGCTTTAAGGTTCCACTCTACATCTTGCTTCTTTTGAGAATTATATTCGGTAGTTATAATTACAGAAACCGATTAGTTGTCAGTTTGCAGATAGATTTAGCACAGAACTCATCACTCTGGATAAATTGAGATCTTTCACAACAGATAAATGATCTGTAACCCTGTAAGATACTGATCTTTACAACTGTCTAATCAGTTTTATTTTTGTACAGTACTAGTGACCTAAGTTATTTTGCCGTCCAGTTTTTGTAAATCAAATGAAATTATAAAAGAGGATTCTGACAGAAGGTATTTTGTACATATGTATATATGTTGTCCAAATAAAAATAATAAATGATGAAGATGGAATCGTCCCAGCTATTACATGTTTTTAAAGGAGCTAGAGGATGTGAAGGGAGCGGGGGGTTGTATTTTACCATAATGGAAGTTGTCACTTCAACCTGCGTTCTCAGGAATTTCATGATAGATGATTTTATGTGGTGTCTTTCACCTTGTGCAGTATTTGAATAGACTTGTGTATACTTATTACACTCAGACCCTGGAAGAGATCTGTGCTGTGGAAGGCAGTTGAACCCATTCCATTCTGTTAGAGAAGAAAATTTGTATTTTTAGGAAAATCACATAAAGAATTTTATAACGTTTATAACTGTTCAGGGGTATAGTAGTAATTGGTCAGAAAATGTTAGCAACTCAGATTTTGCTTTTGATATTGATAAGAACATACAGGCTGGGGTCTTAAACGTAAAGCAACAGAAACATTAAGCCAAGTCAAGATGAACATCAAAGGATGTGAGTATGTGATTTATATAGATAAATGGTAGCTTCTTGTTGTTACCTGTGGTTGAGCTGAGCCCTGTCTCATGGTAACCCATGTGTTATAGAAATACTAGGTAACGATCAAGCTCACCAGCCGCTTCTTGAAAACCGTATACAGAGTCACTATGAGTCAGAGCCGACTCAATGGCACTTAACAACAACAACAACAACAACAACAACAAGGGGAGCCCTGGTGTGGTGCTGCAGGATAACGCACTGGACCACAAGAGCCACAGTTAAAACTCACCAGCCGCTCCTCGGAAACTGTGGTCATTGAGTCTGAACCGACTCAACAGCACTTTTGGTTGCCTTGGTAGGACCAGACCAAATGATTTTGAGGGTCTTATAGAGTCCTGGTGTGGTGCTGTAGGCTAATGCACTGGACTGCAGGGTCGTTTGAACCACAGGGTTGGTGGTTCAAGCTCACCAGCTGCTCCATGGAAACCTTGTACAGGACCCCATGCCTATGGGTGGGAATTGATTCAATTCCTTGTAGTTCAAACCGACTTTGCAGTCCAGCGCATTACCCACAGCGCCATACCAGGACTCTAGCTATAAGAGGAGGTCGATCTCCATTTTCTTTGCCCCATCAGGACTTCGGAGATTTACTGGAGTGTAGTATTCATTAAGTCCTGGTGTGGCACTGCAGGATAAGCACTAGATTGCAAGGTTGGTTTGAACCACAGCATCAGTGGCTTGAAGTCACCAGCTGCTCCTCAGAAACCCTATACAGGGCTGTTATGAATCAGAATCAACTCAAAGGTGCTTAGTAACAATATTCATCTAACTAGTTTTGCCACCCACCTATTAGTTCCAGGTCCTATTGTCTCTGAAGGAGCTCTGGTAGCGTAGTGGTTACAAATCGGGCTGCGAACTGCAAGGTCAGCAGTTCGAAACCACCAGCTGCTCCGCGGGAGAAAGATGAGGTGTTCTGCTCCTGTAAAAGATTAACAGCCTCGGAAACCCTGTACAGGGTCGCTATGAGTCGGAACCGACTCCACGGCACACAACAACAACAACAACATTGTCTCTGAGGATGCAAAGGTGAAAAATAAAACCAAATGAAAACCAGACAGAGCCCCTGCCTTCAAGAAGTTTATATGTTGGGGGGGTGGGGGGGAGGAACACATAGTAAACAAGTTAGCAAATCAATGATCCATATAATTTCAACAGTAATAAATATGATCAGGATAGAACAGGGTGTCGTGCAAATGATTCAGGGGGATGTGGAGAGGTTATGTTAGATTGAATGGGTCAGCAAATGTCTCCTTGAGGGGATTTAAATGTTGAAGCTTGGAACCAGAATGACTAGGGAGAGCTGGCCCTGCAACGAGGCCAAGGAGGTCGGGATACAGAAGTCTGGTAGAAATGAAATCAGCATTTTGGAGGAAATGCAGGAAGGCTCGGTGACTGGGATATAAACAACAAAGAGGCTGAGAAGAGATGGGTTGTTGTTGTGTACCATCATCTGAGTCGGTTCTGACCCATAGCGACCCTGTACAGGGTTTCCGAGGAGCAGCTGGTGAGCTTGAACTGCCAACCTTGCAGTTCAAACAGCTTTGCAGTCTGGCACATTAACCCATAGTGCCACACCAGGACTGATGGGTAGTCGGGTAGTTTTCAGGGGCTAAATTATGAGGACCTTTGTATTGTAGGTTATGGCGTGGTATTAGAATTTGATTTTAAGGGCACAGGGAATCCATTGGAGAACTTAAAGCTGAGGACTGAAATGATTGTATTTCAGTGAGTTCATCCTAGAAACTGTGAGGAATATAGATTTTCGAGGGATAAGAATGGAAGCTGGTAGACTAGCCTTTGGTTATTATTGTTCAGTACCATCAAGTCATGGTGACCCTGTATCTGAGAGCAGCTACTGGGTTTGAACTGCCGACCCTGTAGTTAGCAGTCCATTGTTTATCCTACAGTGCCACACCAGGAAGACTAGCTAGCAGACTCTTCTATTTGTCCAGGCAGGAGATGGTGATCCGGTGGACCAGTGAACAGTTTCAAGAGAGAGTTGAGGCAGAATGAATTGGAAGGTAAGATGTAACAGGTAAAAAGATTAAAGATTCATCAGTGATCCTCAGGTTGATGGCTTGAGCAACCTAGTTAACATTAATGCAGGTTAATGAGGTGGGAGGGACCCTGGGCTGGGCAAACAGTTAAGCACTTGAAAGGGTAGCAGTTTGAATAGATGAAGAGGCACCTCAGAAGAAAGACCTGGTGATCTGTTTCCAAAAGGTCCCAACCTTAAAACCCTGTGGAGTGTAGTTCTACTCTGCATCTAGTGTCGTCATGAGTTGTAATAAGACTCAAAGGCAACTAGGGTTTTTAAAATTTTGTTTTCTTCTTTCGCTCCTCTTTTATTTATTTACTTAGTTTTGGTCAGTGAAGGGAAAAGAAAGTTGGCCTGAGTGAAAAGTCATTAATTCATCTTTGGACATATTTAAGTTGAGGTCCCTCTCAGATATCACATGGAATGTCAAGAGAATGATAGCATTAACTTCAAGCTCAAAAAAGTGCTCTGGACTGGAGATTTGGAAGTCCCAGTCATGTTTGAAAGGGTGGCAGAGTGATTAAGCGTTTGGCTGCTAACTAAATAAAACCTAGTAGTCTTTCCTGGAGAGCAAAGGACAAAAAGAAAATCACAGGGTCATAGAGCAAAGGGAGGTGACTAGTTGTGTTGAATGTCACTGAAGGGTATAGTAAGACAAGTGGTGAAAATTGCCCCTTTATTTAGGGATGTCAGGTTATTAATCATTTTTTTCACAGTGCCATTTAAGGATAGAATTGGACATCTCATGGAAGTAGGCTGAAGACTAAACAGGGAAAGAAGAATCAGATAAGTAGTGTAGTCAAGTCTTGCATAGTTTAGTAAGAAATGAAAGCAAAATAAAACAGATTTAATCAGTGCACAGGAAGACAGGAAAAAGAAAAGAGTCAGAAAAATGAAGATAAAAATAAAGATAACCCACATGTCGCTTCCTAAAAAAGTCAAACTCATTGCCACTAACTTAATTCCGACTCATAGCTCAGATTAGCTGTTGGGATCGAACTGCTGACCTTTCATTTAGCAGCAGAGCACTTTAATCATGACACCTCCGAGGCTCCTATATGTCCCTTAAACCTCATTAAAAGTTAGATTCTCGATTTTGCTCAAATTTTAAATGGTGTGTGTGTGTGTGTGTCTTAGTAGACTAGAAATCCATGTAAAATGAGTTGACAGAGGTTAATCAAAGTGATTAATGAAGAAAAACTAGGCGAAGGCCAACAAAAATAATTTAGAAGTAGTTATATTGACATAAAGTAATAGATTCTGAGGAAAAAGTAATTGGGTCAAAGAGGGGATTACTTGATATCAGCATTTACCATATGAAGATCTGAGAGCTTAGAATGCCATTTCATGAAAATATTTAAAGCAGAGGAGAAACTGATGGAAATCATACTCTTACTGAAAAAAGAGATTTGAGTAATATACAAATTCTTTTTTAACTGTCCAAACCTTTGAAAACTACAAAAAGACAGATTATGATAAAAGTATAAATTTTATATCCTCTGACTACCAGACAATAAAACTCTTAATAAGAAAAAAGATGGCGGTGGTGGTTGTGTGTCCTCGAGTGGTTCTGCCTCACAGCGACCCTGTATAGGGTTTCCGAGGCTGTAAATCTTTACAAGAGCAGAAAGTCTCATCTTTCTCCTGAACAAAATGATAGTTAAGACAAAAAAACCGAAACAAAACAAAAAACACTTAAATGTAAATGATGAAAAAAATACCAGCTTAGCTTAACTTTTGGATCAAAGAGAAACTACAACTCTTATTCACAGTTTAAGGCACTAAAGATAAAGAAATCTAAGCTGTGTTGTTGTTGGCATGTGCCATCGAGTCAGTTTGGACTCATAGTGACCCTGTGTAGGGTTTGTGAGTTGCCGCTGGTGAGTTTGAACTGTTGACCTTGCGCTAGCAGTCTAACTACAGTGCTCCACTAGGATGCCATAGACCAGAGTAGAACTGCCCAGTAGGGTTTCCTAGGCTGTAATCTTCATGGGAGCAGAATGCTAGGACCTTCCTCCAGCATCCTAAAGGTTGTTAGAAGCCATTCAGTCTTCTGATTCAAAGCAAACCTGCGCACAACAGAATGAAACACTGCCTAGTCCTGTGCCATCCTCACAATTGTTATGTTTGATCTCATTGCTGCTGCCATAGTGTCATTCCATCTTATTGGGGGTCTTCTTCCTTTTTGTTTACCTTCCCCTTTACCAAGCATGATGTCCTTCTCCAGAGACTGGTTCCTCCTGACAACATGTTCAAAGAATGAGAGACGAAGTCTCACCATCCTCACCTCCAAGGAACATTCTGGCTGCACTTGTTCCAAAAATAGATTTGTTTGTTTTTCTGGAAGTCCAGAAGTCCTACCGTGGCACTGCAGGACAAGCACTGGGCTGCTAATGGCAAGGTTGACAGTTCAAACCCACCAGCCACTCCTCAGAAACCCTGTTCAGGGTCCCTAGGAGTTGGAACTTACTTGATG